ATCGAGGGGCGGGGCGGGGTTTCTGTGCAGCGCTGGGGCGGGGCGTCACACAGACGGAGGCGGGGCCAGGAGATGGGGGCGGGGTTCGGTACTTGCCTGGTTCACACTTCCAAGGCAAAGGGGGGGGGAGTCTCCATGTGCAGCCCCTGCAGGAACAGCCCCAACTTTGGACACTAAGCACTAAGGCTACAGCTACAAGGCTACATCTACACTCCCAGCTTCTTGGGAGAGACATATGCAAATGAGGCTACTGTGAGGAATATTGCCCAGCCTTATTTGCATACCTAATGAGCTGTCATTTTTGCAGAAGAGGCTCTTGCTCCAGTAGGAGCTGTCTATGCTGCCCCTTCTTGCGCAAGAAAAACCCTCTTGCGCAATGTCATTATTTCTGAAAATAATCAGCATAGCGGCGTTGAGCAAGAGGGTTTTTCTTGCACAAAAAGGGGCAGTGTAGCTATAGCCATGAGTTCTGCACAAGCTTCACACTGACTCCTTACATGCACAGTTCTGGGAGCTGATCAGCACAGGATGGTGGATTCTTGGGTCCATGTGATGTCCCAGGGAACCTCCCCACCAGCTCAGAGGCTAATGCCAGAGCCAGAGTGTGGGACATTTCTCACCAAAGCCTCCAGGGCTGTGATGTCTCCCATTGGCTCTTGCCTATCCATAAAACAGCTGCTCCCGGGAGGGGAACAACCAGTTACTACTGGAGGCAGGCCCAAGCTCACAGAATCTAAACTGATCCTATTCCCCAGCTCAGAAGGAGCCATGGCCGCAGCAAGCCCCATGGAAAGTCTTCAGGAGGAAGTGACATGTTCTCTTTGCCTGGATTATTTCAAGGACCCCGTGATCACAGCCTGCGGGCACAATTTCTGTCGTGCCTGCCTCATACGATGCTGGGAGGGACCTGGCCCAGCCATCCCCTGCCCGCAATGCAGAGCAGCTGTGCAGCAGAGACACACCTGGCCCAACAGGCAGCTGGCAAACATGGTGTCAATAGTCCAGCAGCTGAGTCTGCAGGCAATTCAGGGAGCAAAGGGGGGTAGGGTATGCAGGGCACACCAGGAGCCGCTGAAGCTGTTCTGTGAGGAGGATCAAGCCCCCATCTGTATGGTCTGCGACAGGTCCTGGGTGCATCGTGTGCACACGGTGGTTCCTTTGGAGGAAGCTGCCCAGAAGTACAAGGTAGGGGACTACTGCTCTGTCTGTCTAATAGGTAATTTCTTGGGATTTTAATTACAGGTCTAATTTCCCTGACTGTTCCTTGACTCAGTGTGAATCATCAGTCAGCTCTCATTGTAAATCCTTCCTGGCCCAGGCGATACTGTAACAAAATACTTGATCTGGTCATGTTGTATCGGGGCAAAGTATGAAATCTTTCAAGATATCTGACGTAGGATTTGGAATCTCAGCTGCCCTTCCCATTTGGGAAATAAGGGAACTTTTTACCCAAGGGAAGGTGCTGACAATCAGTGAGGTTTAAATCCCACGCACAGCAAGCCGGTCTACGTGACTGGCAAAAGGGAAGTTAAGAGCTGTAGGTCCTTACAGATTGAATTGAAATTATTGTTTGTATTTGCATCACAGTAGCTGTTCCAGATCCCAAATGAGATTTAGGCTCAGCACAAAATACAGGGAGGGAAAAGTAGCTACATTGAGCAGTACAGGGTAGCTAGACAAAGGGCAGGGAATTGGGATGTTAAGTATTAGTTAATTAACTAAGAGAGTAGTCAATGGAATTTCCATTGACTACTTGATTAGTTAATGGGGGGCACTCCCTCTGCTGCTCTGCACTTTAAATGTAATAAGAGTCTAATGGGAGCTTACTACATTTACGGTGCATCTAAAATCTTGCCAGCTATCTAAACTGGCTGCGAGAATTTGCGCAAGAACACTGACAATCTAATGTAAGATTGTCAGTGTTCTTGTGTAAGAACTCTGACGCGCCCACTCGGAATAAGTCCTCTTGCGCAAGTGTTCTTTCGCAAGAGGGCCAGTGTAGACAGGGACAGGAATTTTTTGCGTAAGAAAGCCCCGATGGCGAAAATGGCCGCCGGAGCTTTCTTGCACAAAACCACGTCTATACTGAGCACAGATGCTTTTGCGCAAAAGCAAATCTTTTGCGCAAAGGCACTTGCCAATATAGGCGCTCTTTGGCGCAAATGCTTTTAATGGAAAAGTTTTTCCGTTAAAAGTATTTGTGCAAAATCATGCCAGTCTAGATGCAGTCTTAAAGTGCAGAGCTGAAGCGCCGTTAGCTCCCAGGGGCGTCATGAGCCGGTACTGAAAAGTCCCAGCTTGCACCGCCCCCGGGATCACTGCAGCTCTAACTCCCCTGCCCTCCTTCCACCACGGAAATGGTGCTGAGTAACCGCCTTTTAAGCCGAGTGTCCCCCCCCCCAACACCAGCTCCTTCTTCCCTCCCCCTTATTGCCTCTGATATAGAGGCAGCAGGGAGGACAGGGAAAGGCAACTAGCCCCATTCCTATTAGGGAAGGGAAACTGAGGCACAGAGAGGAGCACAAGTTGCCCATGGGCATCAAGCATCAGCATGAGCCCCAGTTTCTCCAGGTCCAGTTCAATGCCCTAACCACAAGTCATGCTGTCACCTTAGCACTGGCCCCAGTGCTGAAATGTGTCAGGAGGGAAAGACGCCTTGCTACAGGCCCAGGACTAGAGGGAGAGGAGGTTTCCCTTTGTGATGCTAAACTCGTGGGCTGCTCCATGAGAGGTTAAATTCAGATGCTGTGGCCAGCACTAGAGGAGGGCTGGGCTGGGCTGTACGGTGTGTGGGACTCCAAGCACCTTTAGTCGACCTACAGCAGGGTTCCAGACCACACAGGGCCATGCCAGGTCCAACTGGGATCAGACTGGGCAAAACTACCCCCAGGACAGAGCTGTCAGGGGCTGGCCTGACCTGTGCTAGTGGGTACCTGGGCACAGACCAGCCAATGCGGTTCTGTTAGTCCCACCAGGCAGCCTTTGGAAATGTCCCAGAATGCACTGCTGCTGGGAGCTGTACCAGGGACTGCAGCAGTGGGTACTTGCCCAGGGGGTGTTGCCACTGCAAGAGTTAACACAGCAGTGGGACCGGCATCCATCTGTTCTTTACAAATCTCCCTGTCTAACTAGGATGGTCGCTGAAACATCCCAGAGCACAGGGCACCCCCAAAGCTTGCCTGGGTCCATCCTCATCTGTATCAGTCACCCTGCGTGGGCCCATCCCCTCCTTTCTCAGTGCACCTGCACCTGCATCATCTCCATGGAAGTGCCTCCCCCATCCAATGTTCTCTCTGACCTTTTCTATCCTTTTGCAGAAAAAAATTTATATACAGCAAGAGACATGTGTGCACCACCAATGGAAACACAAATCCTAGCTGTGGGCGCTCTGCCAATCAGCTGGGCAGCATTTGAATTTCTCCTGAGCAGTCGCACAAGAGCACAGCTTAAAAGGAGCACTGCCCCCGTTCCTGCCCAGCCCCCGGGTGACCTGCATCTTCAGTCTCCTCGGCTACATCTACACTGGCATGATTTTCCGGAAATGCTTTTAACGGAAAAGTTTTCTGTTAAAAGCATTTTTGGAAAAGCACGTCTAGATTGGCAGGATGCTTTTCCGCAAAAGCACTTGTCCATGACCAATCTAGACGCGATTTTCCGCAAAAAAGCCCCGATTGCCATTTTCGCAATCGGGGCTTTTTTGCAGAAAACAGTACTGTGCTGTCTACACTGGCCCTTTTGCGCAAAAGTCTTTCAGAAAAAGACTTTTGCCCGAACGGGAGCAGCATAGTATTTCCGGAAAAGCACTGACAATCTTACATGAGATCGTCCGTGCTTTTCCGGAAATTCAAGCGGCCAGTGTAGACAGCTGGCAAGTTTTCCCAGAAAAGCTGCTGATTTTCCGGAAAAACTGGCCAGTCTAGACCCAGCCCTAGTGTGGTTACTGAGCAATGTAACTGGTACCTAGACCACAGCAACTGTTAAAAACAAGAGACCTCTACAGTATGGGCTGAGAATCAGCTGGCTTTTAGCTCAGAGAGTAGAGGCTTCTATACTCAGCTCCAGAAATCCCAAGTTCAAATCTGCCCAGAGACGGTTACACTGTGTAAATATTTATTTCGAAATAGGGGACATCCAGCCTTCCCAGGGTGCCCTGGTGGCCACTCCAGCCTCAGCCAAGAACAATCCTCTCCCTCCCCCAGCCCCGGAGCCCTTAAAGGGGTTGACTTGGGCCACAGTGCTTGTGCCAGCTCCAAGCCTGCCAGCCCAGAGCCAGCAGTCACTGCCTCAACCCAGTGGCCCCAAAACATGAGCCAGCAAGCCACTGGCAGCCTGCCCTCCACCGCTCCCCAGGAGCAGTCTGCCAGCTCCCAGTAGCCTGCCAGGGCCCAGAGAAGGTGGGCGCCTTCCTGGTCCAGGGTGGAGATCATGGATCTTATTCAGGTTTGGGGGGGATGCCCCCAATGTTCATGATCTCTGCACGAGATAGAGGAACGCAGCTATCTACAGCTGTATGGCTGCCAGCCTGGCCACCAAAGGCCGCATAAGAACCCAGGAGCAGGTTGGCATAAAAATCAAGTTGTTCTGGCGAGACCCTGAGTGCTGAGCTTTCCCTCCCTCTTCTTCCCCTTGCTTTACACTTCCAGCTCCCTACTCCCAGGTTTCCCTCTCCCACCCTCCCTTCTCCCCTCTCCTGCCTCCTTTCCCCAGTCTCACCAGAGTTTCATTCCCCTTCCCCCACCAGTTTTGTTAAAGAGAGTTTGTGTTCCTGATGTCAAATAAAATACATGTATTTTGATGAAGGGGGTCAGGGAGGGGTAAATGGAAGGATGTGAGGGAGGAATGAGGCACAAGCCCCCAGTGGGGCAGACCAGGGAGGCTCTTAGTGCTCCTCAGGGTGGAAGCTTTCCCGCAGGGCCTCTTGGATACTGACGGCCCCCCGATGGACCTCCTGGATGGCAGCCTGCAGAAAGTGCTGCCAGGCTCACAGCACCGCATTCACAAGAAGCACCAGAGTGCCCAGGGGCAGCTCTGGCTCCATGTTGCAGTGCTATGGTGTCCTGAGTGAGTGCAAACAGAGCACACAGAGACAAAATGCTTTGCTGTCCCTCGTTGAGGTAGGCAAGCAAGCAGAGAAAGTGGAGAACTGGCTGACCAGGGGGAGTCCCTTTAAGCACAGGCCTCAGATAGTGTCAGGCAGCAGCCACATGAAGTAACTCCTGAGCTGATGCCCTGCCGGACCTCGTGTGCATCTAAAATCTTGCCAGCTATCTAAACTGGCTGCGAGAATTTGCGCAAGAACACTGACAATCTAATGTAAGATTGTCAGTGTTCTTGTGTAAGAACTCTGACGCGCCCACTCGGAATAAGTCCTCTTGCGCAAGTGTTCTTTCGCAAGAGGGCCAGTGTAGACAGGGACAGGAATTTTTTGCGTAAGAAAGCCCCGATGGCGAAAATGGCCGCCGGAGCTTTCTTGCACAAAACCACGTCTATACTGAGCACAGATGCTTTTGCGCAAAAGCAAATCTTTTGCGCAAAGGCACTTGCCAATATAGGCGCTCTTTGGCGCAAATGCTTTTAATGGAAAAGTTTTTCCGTTAAAAGTATTTGTGCAAAATCATGCCAGTCTAGATGCAGTCTTAAAGTGCAGAGCTGAAGCGCCGTTAGCTCCCAGGGGCGTCATGAGCCGGTACTGAAAAGTCCCAGCTTGCACCGCCCCCGGGATCACTGCAGCTCTAACTCCCCTGCCCTCCTTCCACCACGGAAATGGTGCTGAGTAACCGCCTTTTAAGCCGAGTGTCCCCCCCCCAACACCAGCTCCTTCTTCCCTCCCCCTTATTGCCTCTGATATAGAGGCAGCAGGGAGGACAGGGAAAGGCAACTAGCCCCATTCCTATTAGGGAAGGGAAACTGAGGCACAGAGAGGAGCACAAGTTGCCCATGGGCATCAAGCATCAGCATGAGCCCCAGTTTCTCCAGGTCCAGTTCAATGCCCTAACCACAAGTCATGCTGTCACCTTAGCACTGGCCCCAGTGCTGAAATGTGTCAGGAGGGAAAGACGCCTTGCTACAGGCCCAGGACTAGAGGGAGAGGAGGTTTCCCTTTGTGATGCTAAACTCGTGGGCTGCTCCATGAGAGGTTAAATTCAGATGCTGTGGCCAGCACTAGAGGAGGGCTGGGCTGGGCTGTACGGTGTGTGGGACTCCAAGCACCTTTAGTCGACCTACAGCAGGGTTCCAGACCACACAGGGCCATGCCAGGTCCAACTGGGATCAGACTGGGCAAAACTACCCCCAGGACAGAGCTGTCAGGGGCTGGCCTGACCTGTGCTAGTGGGTACCTGGGCACAGACCAGCCAATGCGGTTCTGTTAGTCCCACCAGGCAGCCTTTGGAAATGTCCCAGAATGCACTGCTGCTGGGAGCTGTACCAGGGACTGCAGCAGTGGGTACCTGCCCAGGGGGTGTTGCCACTGCAAGAGTTAACACAGCAGTGGGACCGGCATCCATCTGTTCTTTACAAATCTCCCTGTCTAACTAGGATGGTCGCTGAAACATCCCAGAGCACAGGGCACCCCCAAAGCTTGCCTGGGTCCATCCTCATCTGTATCAGTCACCCTGCGTGGGCCCATCCCCTCCTTTCTCAGTGCACCTGCACCTGCATCATCTCCATGGAAGTGCCTCCCCCATCCAATGTTCTCTCTGACCTTTTCTATCCTTTTGCAGAAAAAAATTTATATACAGCAAGAGACATGTGTGCACCACCAATGGAAACACAAATCCTAGCTGTGGGCGCTCTGCCAATCAGCTGGGCAGCATTTGAATTTCTCCTGAGCAGTCGCACAAGAGCACAGCTTAAAAGGAGCACTGCCCCCGTTCCTGCCCAGCCCCCGGGTGACCTGCATCTTCAGTCTCCTCGGCTACATCTACACTGGCATGATTTTCCGGAAATGCTTTTAACGGAAAAGTTTTCTGTTAAAAGCATTTTTGGAAAAGCACGTCTAGATTGGCAGGATGCTTTTCCGCAAAAGCACTTGTCCATGACCAATCTAGACGCGATTTTCCGCAAAAAAGCCCCGATTGCCATTTTCGCAATCGGGGCTTTTTTGCAGAAAACAGTACTGCGCTGTCTACACTGGCCCTTTTGCGCAAAAGTCTTTCAGAAAAAGACTTTTGCCCGAACGGGAGCAGCATAGTATTTCCGGAAAAGCACTGACGATCTTACATGAGATCGTCAGTGCTTTTCCGGAAATTCAAGCGGCCAGTGTAGACAGCTGGCAAGTTTTTCCGCAAAAGCAGATGATTTTGTGGGAAAACTTGCCAGTCTAGACACAGCCCTCCTGTCTTTGTTTGCACAGACTAAGCCACGTCCAGGTCTGAGTCCCTGCCTGGCAGGGACAGAGCCCCACAAAACTAGGACTGGGCAGCTCAAACCAGATTAAATGGGCTCCGGATCCCTCATGGGGGTTGCCCAGGAACTCCCAGCCCATATTTAAACTCTGGGGCTTCTGGGATTGGTGTCACTTTGTTTATTAAACCTCCTCAAACACGTGTGTATTGACTCACCTCCATGTGTCTCCAGTGCCCTGCTACGGGCTATACCATTAACACCTCCATACATACCGGTAAGGCTGGGTGATAACTGAGATCTCTGTAATGACTAAAACACCTGAACCTGAATGTGTAACAAGTCAGACTGACACACTCCCAGGCTGCATTAATAAGGGTTCATCTCCTTGGGGGCCCAGATATCACAAAGTGATTCGGACCAACAATCATCTTGAGTTTTGGTGGGGAAATGTCCTGTCCCACACCCCTCTCAGCCTCACAATGAAACCTCCAAGCTCATTTCTGTTTCCTCAGGGGAAAATCCAGGCCCATTTGAAGACTCTGAGGAAAGCGAGAGAAAAGCTGCTGGGATGGAAAGTGACCAGAGAGGGGAGAAGCCAGGAGTATCTGGTAGGTGCCTGTGGCTATGGACCAGCAGATACTGGCAGGGGGAGGGGCTGTTTAGAGGCAAGTTTCTGTGTGGCCTTGGGAAGGTGGAATAGGGAGTTGCTCCATGACCGTGGATTGCTGGGTTAGATCCATGTGTAGACAGGACCTGAGCTGCCATGTCAGGAGATGAGTTTATGTCCAGCCTTTGTGTCTTTCCCAGAAATACTTCCACAGTGACCTGAATGTCCCTGGGAAGGGCTGTCTGCTCATTTCCTGCATTCACAGGTTTGCTTCTGTTTTCTCCCCGGTGTCTCTCTGTCAGGTTGGTGCTGAGTCCTGCCTCCTGCTGCTCTGGATTTGAATTCCCAGAGCCCACGAATAACAGAATGCACTGCCCATCGCAGGAAACCGTCTCTTTCAGAGAGATGCAGGGGCTAAATGGGAAGCTGGGAGAGATTCCTCTGCCTAGTACCCACAGGGCAGAGTCAAAGAAGAACGGCCATACTGGGTCAGACCAACGGTCCATCCATTCCAGTATCCCTGTCACCCACCTTCAGAGGAACAGAGGCTAGGGTCACCATTTTACCCATCCTGACTAATAGCCTTTGATGGACCTAACGTCCATGAATCTAGCTCTTTACTAAACCCTGTTAAAATCCTGGTCTTCACCACATCCTCTGGCAAGGAGTTCCACAGATTGACTGTATGCTGAGTGTTAGAAATGGCAGAAATGAGGGTTTTCCATGAAGTTCTCCCTGCTGCGCACTCAGCTCCCCAAGAAAGGGCCCTGGCCTCCATTCATGCCTCTGACCAGCATTTTCCTGTTTTCACACAGAAACAGATACAAGCCGAGAGGCAGAAGATTGTGGCCGAGTTTCAGCAGCTGCGGCAGTTCCTGGAGGAACAAGAGCGACTCCTGCTGGCCCAGCTGGAGAAGCTGGACAAGGAGATTGGGAGGCTCCAGACTGACACTGTCAGGAAACTCTCTGTACAGATTTCCCATCTCAGTGAGCGGATTGGTGAGCTGGAGGGGACGTGTCAGAAGCCAGCGAGTGAATTTCTGCAGGTGAGACTGAGGGAGAAACATCCCAGCTCCCCACACAGGGAAGGGAGGCTCCTGAGTCACAAGTGTGTGTGTCCGATGGAACTGAGATTCTTTCTATCTCTTCCCTCTAGGATGTCAGAAGCACCTTGAGCAGGTATGTGGCTTTCACTCCCCTCACACCACACTCCCTCCAGGACTGTGGGGTGGAACATGGGTCTGTCACTGCTGGGATCTAGGCA